TCAAGACACAGTGTGAGATAAAACAAAATGATTGAAATATACAGTCAGTACATAAGAAGAAGAAAACACACCTATCAGAGTAGTCCATCATAAATTTCATTGTTAATTATAGATGGAAATTAAACCTTGTTGACTGTTAGCTTAGAAATATAAATCTGTCAGGGGTATAGAATAATTTCTTATTTTTGAAATCAAGCTACTTGTCTTGTCATAACAAAAATAATTGCATCGGAATTCTTGTTGTTATGTAAATTTTCTTAACAGGTATATGTAGAGCTGTTCATATAGACATTTTTCAATTAAATACGACAGCATCATTATGATCAAATTTATATTAATGTAAAATAAATCTTTGAGTTTACTCAATAAATTTTCAATGTTACTTATTTGAGGTATGTACTAATTTTCAAAATTATATCTAAAAACATTGCATTCAGTATTATTAGCAAGATATATGGAAAATATCATATTTAGCTAAGCAAGAAACAAAGGAAAACTCAAGCACAATAGCAACATTGTCAGTTAGAAATAAGTTACGGTTCATTACACACGATAGTTATGCTCATTTGTCGTCCGAAAGAAAGTGTTTTTGTGCATTACGCTTTCCTATACCTTCTTCTCTTTGTCATTCGTTTCACGCTTAACATCTTTCCATTCATGTGTATATGAGCTTATGATAGCAGTCACAATGAATCACGATGATGCCGATTATCATATATTTTCTGTTCTTTTTTTTTCTCAGTTTTTCTTCTTTTTTTTAATGTCTTGTAGCTGTTGAAAAGAAGGCGAGAAAACGATAACAGGTATGCGTGCATAAGAGCTTTGAGAAAAAAGACAAACTATAGCAAAAAATGTCATACTCATACTATGACTTAGATGTTTTTAATCATTGATACAACTACGCAATTTATACTTATTCTTTTTTTTCCAATCATCCAGAACGATGGTTCTTTTCTTTTACTATTTCATGCTTTTTTTTAATATTTGTTTTAGTCATTTTTAAAATTTTCCTTCGCTAAGCTGCTGTCATAATGTCTATTATATTCAAACATTGACTAATTCTAAGTCTTAAAAAAAACCAAGAGAACCTTTAAGCATTTTCTGCTTCTTCTTTTCTATTGTATTTGCTAACGCTAACATAAATGCGTAAAGGAAAGTGATTTTTTTCTATACAGGAAACAATTTTTTTTTCTTTAGCATTGGCATCTGCACATAGTTAGTAACAGTAGATTATTTGTTTTACAGGAACTATCGTTATCAACCATATAGATAAAAAGTATAGAAAAGCGTGCATGATTTCAATTATTTATTATAAATAAGAAAAAAAAAATAACCTAGTCGACTTCTAATGAATCCTATTCACTTGAATACAAACAAATTTCTGAATTATTTTATTAAATAACTATGTTAGTTTATGCTATTCGTTTTTCTTTTTCTTTTCTTTTCTCACATTATTATTTTTTATTCAATCTGGTGTCTCAAACATACTGAAATACATAACGCCAGTATGTTTTTCGTTTTTTTTTCTTCACATACTTATTCGGACATGTGACTTTATAACAGAAAAGTATGTTGTCTTTCAATTACATCTTATCATAAATGTAAAAGGGACATATCTTTCCGCGTATATGTATATATATATTTAACTTTATTTAATATTATGCTGTTCTATATTAGTTTATTCATATTGACAGAAAAAATACATACATACTAAGAGTTATTAATTATGTATAGATACAGGTTGTACAAGACCATGGCAATAAAAAGAGAGGTACAGGAATCCAATGACGTCAATCAAAAATAAATACGTCAGTTGATTGATGTAAAAATGGACAAGAAAAAAAAAGTACGATTGTGTGTCGGGCATACATTTTTCTTTTACGTTTTCAATTTCAGTAGCTTTCTAATGCATCTATGAAATTTTTCTGTTTTTATTTTTTTATTTTTAAGATTGACTATTTCCCTCAGTGAATGGTCTATTTATGGGTGGAAATATCAGTTCGGCGACGCTGGACGACGCCACATTGGCTATGATTAAACGTAAAACAAGAATGAAATCTTCTGAAATTACAAACTGGTTTAATGAACTCAAGGTACAAATTATAGAAATTTCTGTGGTGTTATTTATTTAATTACAATATGTTTCTTTTTCTTGTTTATATTGAATAGAATAATTTTCCGATTTCTTTCTGATGAAAATCGAAAGAATGCAAAGAAATTCATAGAATATTAAGCGTAAGAGTCTCGTTAACCCTTTGACTATGATGTTTTGGCAAGGATGACATAAATTGTCGGTATGCTTGTAGCAGTCTGGAATCGAGTATATGCATCAAAGGAGAACAGCGAATTACGTTAAGCTTCAGTCCATACGATAACATTTTGACAGTTGCCAAGTCCAATAGAGTTGCCAGAAATCTTCGCTTAGCTCCATATATAATCCTATGGTTTCATATTATAATATAGATCTAATAAAAGTGAACAGATGCTCTTCTGTAAGATTATAGCTGCAGTAGTAATCGTAACTATCTATAATTGTATGTTATTTTACGGATTTTTGTTAGATTTCACAAAGCTTTAAAATGCTTGTGTCGAAAGAAAGCCTATATGCATTCTTCTTGACTTCTGTCTTTTACATTTGATAGACATGTACAGAGATATCATATAATGATATCGTGACATTAAAAGCACAAAGGAATTAGAGAGTATTTTATAATCGAAGAAAACAAGAAGATTGTAAAAGTTACAATTTGCATGAAAGCATAGCACGTATAGATACGAGTCCCGCAATCAAACAGTTAATGTAGTTTGTTGGTATAGATAAACAAATACTGCTGCATCTGGTGCAACATTTTCTTTCTTTAATAGATCGCTATCAATATGACAATAAAAAGAAATTTAAAAAAAACCAAAACTTTATACATTTCTGTAGTGTTTTTTCTTATAAATTGAACAAAGAAAAAAAAACAGATACTATTCATGCATCTTTTCAATAGACACAAATAATCTTCATAATCTTCTAATAAATTCTATGAGAGTTGTCTTGTCATTAGTGCATAATGAAGTCTTGTACGATAAAAATAATAATAAATTCTTATGGTTTTATTATATCATTTAGACACGATGCCCAAATGGTAAAATGACAAAAAAAGATATGTTAAAATGTTATAAAGATCTAAGTACATGTGACATAGATAAAGTTGAACATGTTGTTACTGCTATATATCAAGCTTTTGATACAGATAAGGATGGTAAAGTTGGTACGAAAATAATAGTTTTTTTTTAATTATTTCTATATTCTGAAATGCATTTCTATGTAAATAGATTTTAAAGAATTTGCTATTGGATTTTTATTAACAACAAAAGGTACAATAGAAGAAAAACTTGATTATACGTTTCAACTTTATGGTATGAAATATTCATACGAATATCGAAAGAAAACAAAACAAAACCAATTACTTTTATTTGTTTGTTTGTTTTTCTAGATATAGACAAAGATGGTTATATTGATCAGTCTGAGATAGATATTATGGCTAAGGTATTCAAAAATTGAAATTATTTAAAAGAAAAACAAAAGGTTGTTTTCTATTCATTTAATTTTAGTATGTTTTAAGAATGTTAGGTGGTAATGGTAATGATTTTCAATCAGTGGAATTGCTCAAACATTTCATTGCTTCATGTCATTGTAATGAACAAGGTCTTATAACAAAAGAAAATTTTATCCAAGCTTTATCGAAAAATGAATTACTTCGACAACTTTTATCTCCTTTTACTTAAAATCATTCATCTTGTTAAAGTTGTCAATGCAAAAAAAGAAGCATCAAAAGCTTCATTTTGCTCTATCCACTTCCCAATGGTTGTAAAACTTTCGGTTGATTTTATTTTATTTTTCATTTTAATTGTCATGTGTATTTTTATTTTACAAAAGACAGTGATAAAAACAAGAAAAACAAAAGAATCTAGGAATGAAACAAAAAATCAAACGTTAGATTCTAATGTCTTATTTTATTAGTAATATATTCGATGATAAATAATTAGCACCTATTCGAAAGGATAATAGCGATGTATATGACATGAATATATATCACTGAAAATCAACTTCTCATAGAAATGTCTATATTGAAAAAAAAAATCATTTGATCAACTTAATATTATACTTTCTTTTTTTTCTTTTTGTTGAGCAAGATTTATTTTGCCATTGGAAATTGGATATCATTCAGTTTATTTTATAATAATAGCCTTGCTATGGTAGATATTTTTTCTGCCTCAAGTGAAATTAACTAGAGTATAGATTTATTTTGTGATAGATGAAAGAAAGATAAAAAGAAAATCATTTCCTGACACGTTAGAATAAACAGATACTTCGCACTTTTATTCAATTATGTGTAATTATATAAACAGAAACATAGATACGAAAGTCAACATCGTAATTTATAAAACTATAAATGAAATAAATTTTAACAGATAACACTTTCTTATTGTATTAGATAAACTTCAGTGCTTTTTCAAAACACTTCTTATGTCTATTTCGTTACTTAGAAGAATTTTTCTTTTACTATTATAACCTTTTGATCAATTTCAGACATCGTGTTATCGTTACTTCTGTGTTATTTGTCTGCAATAATCGATGCACGTAGTGTTCGTCACTATATTATACTACTAGAAAAAATGTTTTATCAACATCATTATAGATACACTGGTATTCACAGACGAGCATAAAAATATTAGCATTGAATATAAAACCGACTATATAGCTGTTATCTAATTAATATTTATTAAGACATTCATAAAACAATAATTAATAAGGAGAATCTATGATTATCATTATAAAAATAAAGGTTTGAAATACAGTAGATATACGTAAAATTCGAGTATCTACAGACAGATTTATGGTTTGATAGATTATTCATCAAGTTTTGTTTTATTTTTAAACAAAAAAAAAAAAAACTGAGATTTTGTAGTTTAAAAAATTCTACAAAACTTTTCACAAAAAAAATAATATTTTAACTGTCATAATCTACTCTTTTTCGGAATCGATTGGCATTATTTGACTCACCGTTTGAGGTAAAAAAGTCATCATCTTCAAAACGAGATCGAGACGTACTATTACCATAATTATTATTATTATTATTATTGTAAGATGATGAATAATTCGGTTTTTTTGACGTATTTGGATAATCATCATCTTCATATTTTGAACGTGATATTGATTTCGATGATGAAAATGATCGATCTTCATTATCATATTTTGAATGTGTCGTTGATTTTGATGATGAATAATGATTATCTTCAAATTTCGAACGATTTGTTGCCTTTGTAGATGAAGATGGATAATCATCATCATCGTCATGTTTTGATGATGACCAACGATTATCATTATCATTATATTTTGAACGATTTATTGGTTTTGATGTTGAATAATCATTATTATAGGTAGAACGTGTTATAGGTTTAGATATTGAATTATCATCATCATCATCATCGTTATCTTCAAATTTTGAATTAGGTTTTTTTCTTAAAGATGATGATGGATGATCATCATCATCGTATTTTGTATGATTTGTTGTTTTTGATAATGTCCCTCGATATTCATTATTAAGATTTAAACGATCATATGATCGATGATAATTTTTATTATCATCAAAACCATAATTTTTATTTGTTTTAGTTGTTGTTGATGTTTTTAAATAACTATTTTCATCATCATCATCATCATCGTCATCATGACGATTATATGGCTTTTTTGGTGTTGTAATTGTATGACGATTGTTTGTTTTATTATATATATCATCATCATCATCATCGTACATACTTGATGATGGTTTTTTAATATTTGAAGAAAATTTATTTGTTGAAAAAGATGAATTATCAAAACGATTTGTTAACTAGAAAGAATAAAAGAACAAACAAGAAAAATTTTCATTTTTACAACAATTTACTTTTGATTTTTGTTGTCCATAATAATCTTCTTCATCATCACTAACATTATCTCGTTTTGATAATGAACCATTTGTATAAGATTTCGTATCATGTACGAGTGGACTCATATTTCGTCGTTTTGTATCACTTGTTATTGATGATTTTGTATTAAATTTTGGTAACATATCTTCACTTTTTGTTAATTTAAGAGTCGATGATGTTGACCATGGAGTTTCTTCAGGAAATGATTCATATGTTGATCGAAATGCTTTTGGATCGCTACTAGCTGATCTTTTCATCAGCATATCAGTACTCTTATTACCACCTACTAGTTTTTTTTTCTTACTAAAATCATTGATTGACGATGATTTAACATCATTATCATCATCATCATCATCATCACTAGCAGCTCTTATTCTATTTTTATTTGTAAAAATATTTGGAAGTTTTTCAGAAGTAATTTTTGAATGATAATCTGTATTTTTAGTTGTATAATTAGTATTTTTTTGTTTTGAATATTTATCATCACTATCATCATCACTTTCGAATTGATTAAATTTTTTATTTGTTCGATTATTTTTTGCTTTTATAACACGTAAATTTAATTCTGTATAATTATCATCAATTGTTCGAATTAACCATGAAAAACCTTTTCGAATTGATTCATCTACTTCATTTTTATCATCTTGAGGTAATGCCGTACATAATTCCTTAGTAAAAATTTCTAATTAAAATTCTCTTTGAAAAATATTCATATGACTTACAATTTTATGTTTTGCTTTTAATTTTTCAATATTAAGTTTACGTTTTAAATCATTTTCATTACTAATAGCTCCTTTTTGATCTTGTTTATTTGCCAAACTAATTGAAAAGAAACAAAAAATTCTTTTTTTCTTTTAAACCACAACAACTTACATAAGAATTGGTTTATCTTTAAGTTTATCATTTTCAAGTAAATCTTCTAAAGTTTCTTGATTTTCACGAAATCGATTTCGTTCACTTGCATCAATTACAAATATTAAACCATATATTTCATCATAATATTGTGACCATGAATATTGACGAAATTTTCTCTCACCACTGACATCAATCATTCGTATACGTTGCTGATTATTATTTTTATTATTACGATCATTTTTTCCATTCAATGGATGTGTTACCATTGTTGAAGTTGAACTAATCGTTGGTGAAACATCATCCGTTGGGTCTGAAGAATATTAAATCAATTCAAAGAATAACATATGATATGAATATTACTTCCTTCGATCGCTTTAACTGTCGATGTTTTACCTTAATAAAATAAATATATATATGTAAGGAAAACAAAAGTATAAAAAGCAAAGATTTATTACCGGCATCATCAAGACCAAATACGCCGATAGTGATATTCCTAAAGAAAATTATTTTAAATTGAAAACTGCTAATATTTCAGATTGGTTTTTATTCGAGAAAAAATGCAATTTATAAGACTGGATGATTTTTGCTTTTGACAGGCAAAAATAATATAAATCTAATTTAACAACATTTTTTGATTATGATTGTCAATATAGATTCAGAAAATTCGTTTTCGATCTTTCTTTGTAATAATTTTGCAGTCTTTTCACACTATATTAACCAGAGAACAAATCCAACTGTTGGACATCATTCGAAACATATTTTGACAATGAGTAGGACTGATGTCTCTCTGGATTAACTAATCATAAAAAAGCTCATTGACAAGATTGTCATCTGAAATTTTCTTCATAGACAAGTCTCATGACCCATAAAATATTATAAAAATTTCAGTGCAAACGATTATATTTTTCTTGAGAGATCAAGTGTCAATGACAACTCAGTTCTATGGCTTGTCTTGTAATATATTCATTGAACACTCAATATCTCATGAAGAATGCATTCTTTTGAATTGAAATCTGTAAGGCATCATAATGATCATGATACTTGTTTAGGGTAAAATTTCAGATGAAAATCTACTAAAATGATAATAACTCTAACTGAATAATATATGAATTTGGATTCTTTTAGAATTTTCATAATGTCCCTTAGCTGTACTCGTACACTAGATGTGCTTGCGAATGACATTCGACAGCTAAATATGTGTCTCCATAATTGCTTTTTATTTATATTATGCTCGAAAAGTATCGAATATCTCAAATATTTTCTCTTCTGTGTTAAGTCATTTAGCGTCTTAAAAAAAATCAACTCTTTAATGTAGGATTAGTCTTTTTATCTACACCTACAACTTAGCAGCTGTTTCCTAAGTCCGTCGAACCTACTTTTATAATTAATGCATTGAGGAAATTTAGCTGTAATAATTATATTGACATTTTACCATAATTGTTTTGCAATATTCCACTTTCTCAGCGCAGTAAAATTTTCGAATTTTGAAGTAAAATCTGCTCATATCGAGATTACACTCAGAGAATACGATGCACTCTACTGTTTTGTGAATAACTTTTGATCGGAACATAATAGAGACCTACAATTTTCAACAATTAAGAGAACAAAATCAGAAACATCTCTTCATGCCACAATCTGATTGGTCAATAACCGAACAATGGATAGAACTAATCCTCTCTTTCAGTTTGCGAAATCCCTCAAATTTCTAGCACGTTTAATTCAAGAGCTCCCAAGGTTTTTCTGAAATCCCCGATTTCAGCAAATCAAACTTGGAAGGCTTTAGTAGTCTTCCAAAGCTAATTTACTGAGATATCAGAAGTGTCGAGAATGCCCTTGTAACTCTTAAACTAAAGGCATTAAAAAATTACCGCTTGCGTAGATCGGACGAGAAGGACATTTTCTATTAGTTGCTGTAGTCCAAGTCGAAGCTCAATGGAAAACAGTTTCACAATATTTTTTGAAAATCTCCGTACAGAAGTTTCCTAGTAGGTCAATTGTTAAGCGAAGAGATTTTGACATCCATAGATGGCCTTGGGGTTTCTCTCTTGAATGATGCGAACAGTAGGTCTCTATGATGTTCCTATCAAAAGTTATTCGAAGAATAGCAGTACGGATTCCATTTTCTGATTGGCATCCTGACATGTGGAAAGTTTTAGATGAAAATTGAAAAATTTGAGTTTATTGAGAAAGTACATTGTGGAAAAAACAATTATAGGAAAAATTCAAGATCGCAGCCAAATCATAATTTTCTTCGATGTCCTCTTCGACCTTCGTTTACAATCTACGCATCTCTTATGTGTAAATAAAGCGTTAACTTAAAAGCTTTCTATTGCCTGGGGTGACTTTCTTATAAGATAATTACTTGTACAAGAATAACTTTAAACTCGTATAAACAATATATTTCTTAACTATTTTCACCTACTTCTTATCGTCTTTTTGTTGGTTTTCCGGAGATGATTTTGAACTTTTACATGAGGCGGCACCCATACTTTATCTTTAGTTCATTTTATTCTGCCAATTTATTTACCTAAAGCATAAAAGAAAAGAAAAAAAGTTAAAAGTGTAAGTAGAACAGTTAATCGGCAAACATAGTGAATTGTTGTTTTGTTATTTCTCTTCTCACTCTTTCTTTTTTCTTTCAAAAGCAAAAGAAGTTGACAACAGAACACCATCTAACCGATCTGTTCTATGGCAGCAACTGCCAAAAAAAATTAATTTTTTTTTTAAGCAGAGGTCACTAAAAAACAAAAATTTCCTAAATAGTTTACAAAGAATTACAATTATAATTTAAGTTTAACAAGCAATATGATTTCAAATGTAATTAATACATTTCTGATCAATAAATCGAGTAGATTATTTCATGAAAATATATTTCAGATATGTTTAGTGACGGACAAAAGTTTAGAGCAGTTGTATTGTTAAAGTTTTCATCTTGATGATAATGGCTAGCAAGAGCCTGCAAAAAAAGGATTTGTTTAACTAAGAGGATTCTCTATCAAAAGTGGCAAGTTTGAAGACTTCAGCAAAACTGTTCGGATGAAGCTTTTAGGAAAGAATTTTATTCGAAAGATTTTTCTTTTCTTGATTTTTTTAAGAATTTCTATATTTTTGTCATATTCGACGCTTTGAAGCTGTCTATAAATTGAATGCAGTTCGATGAATAAAGTTCATGAAAATGTTGGATATGTCTCATTTTGCTTTATCTCATCAAATCTGTTCCCAGCAGCTTCGAATGTAAGCCTACTATGAATGAAATAAAAAAGCATTGAGATATATTGATTTATTTATTTATGCACGATCAAGTTTATATCGCATGTTTATTCCTTGTTCATTGACCATACCAATGAATGAGGCACCCAAATTGGAATCAAAATATTCTGCTTTACCTATTGGTTTTGAATTATGCCATAAACCTTTATATTGTGTACCATCTGACCATGTGTATATGCCGATACCATGATAAAAATTTGATTGAAATTCTCCTTTATACGATGTACCATTGGCAAAAGTTAATTGTCCTGTTCCATGCATTTTATCATGATTCCATGAACCTTCATAAATATATTGTTGATTAACACCTATATGTTTACCATGACCATGACGCATCACTTGACCTTCATTGGTAATAATATACTCACCATCATATCGATCGCCATTAGCAAATATGAATGAATCCTTATGAAGTTCATATGGAGCTATAGTAAAGTGGGATGTTTGCGGTCTTGATAATAAACTATCTGTCATAATTGGATATTTATCAATTTTTATTTTTACTACTTCTGGTTTTTTCTAGTATGTTGATGCAAGAAGAAAGTGAGAAACTAAAGATTGTCTCATCAGTTTCTTTTTCTTCTTCGTACATACATTTTAGAGAAAAAGAAAGAAGAATAATAATATTTTCGAAACCTATGGTGTTCACAGTATGCATCATAGCTGATGTCGACAAGAATATAAAAACATTATGAAAACTATTATTAAACTAAATTGACAAGAAGAAATGAATAATATGCATCACCTTCTCCTCATATCGGTACACAGAGATCGAGAAATATAATAAGCTAGAGTACAACGTTCATGGAAAATCATTCTATCTTAACAATTAAACATAATTCTAATCGTCAGAAAAACAAACATGAACATCTTGAAATACATTTGAAACATATAATAATTATTCAATACAACAACATAATATGTTGTAATTATTGGTGTCGACTTTGCAGAATCAATAAACCATTCAAAAATGAATGAACCAACAACTTAAAATTCTTTGTAAATAGAATGATTTTTTTGCTTAGATACAACTTGACATGTTGTCTTTTTTTCGAACAAAGCTCACTAGTATGTGGAATAATTTTTGTATGGTATTCGAAGAGGAAGTGATGTTTCTTCTTTGATTCGTAATAAATGTTAATCACTTGAGCAAATTCAAAACAACCAGATGTTTAATAAGTCATGAAGAACAAGTACGGATCTCGATATTCTTATAGTTTGATTATTATGAAAATACACTCTTCATATAAATTTGACTGATTAATCAAGAACTGTCACTCTAACAAAAACTTAGGGTGTTCCAAAAGCCTGTATAGAAATAAAAATTTGAAGAGTTTCTAAATGTTCAAGCGATTTACAAAAAGCATCTCATGATTGCCTTCAATGTTTCTTTAAGTTTTATTTCATATGGCTTTAAATACAGACATGTAATAACAGAAACGAGTTCACTTGAAAATACAGTATCTTGACGAAGAAAAACTCTTTTCGATTGAAACATTTGCAATATCCTAAGAGTTAATATGTGTTCATAGGCAACAAGTTTGGATCGAAACCCCATGATTTTCTTTTCCAGAAGGTATCTAAAACGAGTCGAAAATTCTGTGAACTGGTCATATATTGGCGCCAAAGGCTTACAAAGAAGAACTACTTAAGACTTTTCTAGCATCAATGAGACCTAACTGTAATTTCAATATGAGCTGGAACGGAAGGTATCAGTTGAGATAGTTCCATTGTAGATTCTGTTATTATTCTGTAAGTTTTCGAATAAAATTGTCCATTATCCTAACCTTATAGTGTCAGATACATTATTGACAAACAACATGAACTTAGTGATTTTTTTCAAATTCATTTTCACTGTAGAAACTTCAGAACATAATCGATCCGTTACGATATACTCTTCACAAAAGCATTGAGAAATAGCCTTAATACTATAGTCATGGGGTGTTTCTCTGTCAAATTCGATCGATAATCCTCGTTTTACAATCATCGGTTATTAACAAAGACGTAGCTCAGCACTGGATGCAGAGGAGGGGGAAGGAGAGCGCAGAATAGACAGTTTTCATAAGCGTAAGATGTTTCATTGAGCTTATGAAACGGACGAGAACACATTCTTTTTTCTCAAAACAAATTTTTGAATTCACAAGAAAGTATGAAGTATCTACGATGACAACAGAGAACTCGTTCTTCTTTTTTAGAAAAATGATGTTGGACCGTCTAAAGAATGTTCATCAGTTCGAAGAATCCATTCCTAGGCAGTTTTTCAAAGAATATTAAAGAAAATGATGTTACATTGTTGGACTCTTGTGTTAATCTTTCTAAAAAAAGATTACCAATTAAATCATTCCAATAATGAATCCAACGGTTTAGATCGTTTTCTATTCGAATGAAGAACAACTTTGGAGTAGGAAGAAAGTCTTCCATAAAAGAACGAAACGACAAAGAATGCGTTCCAGCAGATGTAGAACGTATTCTTTTCAGTTTGAATGTAGTAGCCAAACTATAGAACGTGGTCATTAACTTTTTTGAATGAACATTTTTCACTAGAAATATTTGCGAAAAGATGCACAACTAGAACATGAGAATCTCGATGACAAAGCTTCAAGATTTTCACACTTAGTCGAAATTGATCGAGCATACGCTAGTGCAGCAAAGTAAAAAAACTCGACAATGTTATTGTGTAAAAGCCAATGGACTTATTGTAGTAAATTTCTAATAGACACTATGTCGTTGACATTCTATTGAACCAAAACTTTTCATGACTTCGATATTGGTCACATAATTACAATAATTTCATTGGGTAAAGAGGTGAAAAGCATTGATATTAGACATATATTGAACATTGAAAGTTAAAGCTAATTCAACATCCGACCAAATAATATAAGAGGAAATATATAAATATTTATGAATAATGTCACTCACCTGTGTTCAATTTATTCTTTCTTGTAGGATAACAACGGACAGAGAAATAGTATATTGTTCATATATAATACATTATGAATAAACGAGAGACTTATCGATATGCTAAATGTGCTTTGAAATAATTCGATTGATCAGGATTATAATAAATAAGAATATCACGATAAAGAATCTTAGTCAACCTTTAATCTTGACTTACGAATTTTTTTACTGTATTTTTCTGAAATAGAAGAATGTGTTTTCTCAAAACAATAGTCGTGCCTCAAGGCATTGTATTGGTATAGTTTCGAAATTATGCAAACACATGTAAATATGGTGAAAATCTTGTAAATTATATGAAGGCTATATGTACAATTTTTTTCTCGATATTATTTCAATAAAAATCATCAAAGATACCTTTTATCTTAATTTAATTCTGCATTGTAGATGTGACTTTTTTTTGCTTTGGATCAGAACTCTTGTTGTGAAGCCATGTGATTTATTAACTTTCACGATGTTACATTTATGAAAAATAAAATTCTACAAAAGTCAAACAGCTTTCCAAAGCCTTCGAAACCTAAGTTGTTATTGTCGTACCACGACGTACATATCTAGTTTGAAGTTGTGATTGAACAGGGTTGTTTTTTTCTCAGAAATCACATTATAAACATATCTTACGTATTGAACAAAATTATTTTCTACATATCTATATATCAAATCTTAAAATATGTCATGAAAAAAAGATCTGGAAATCACTCATAATTGTCGTATATTTTCGATTTTGAATTAATGCATTGCTATCGATATAGATCAATAGAAAAAAGAGCTAATGTATACTCTTAAATTTTTTAGAACAAAACTGGTTTATTACAGCATTATGTGACATGAAAGTTGTTCAAGTCGACGAATGTTTCTTTACTCGGATGCAAACATTTTATAAAGAAAATAGGGTCTAATTTTATAACTAAAAAATGAAACAAAACAAGAAGAAAGAATAGAATCTTTCGACCTTTTTAATCAATAAAATATCATTTTAATGATCTCATTTGGTTCATTGTCAGTTCTGTTCAATACTGTCAAACTACTTCTTCGAATCATCTCATCTATTATTGTCTTGTATCAAACTAGTACATTCACTTAAACTGCAGTTTTTATGATCATTTCTTGAATAAAGTATGTCCAGCAACTCACTATGACTAATGATAGATGTCATAGGTCCACTCTTATCATTAGTGACATGATATGCAGTAAAAGAATACAAATATACAATCAATGTAATTTATCAAGAAATGAATATAGATTAATAAAGTAGTACACTGACT